ATAAATTAGGCACCATTATGACAGTGAAGAAACCGCTTCTTATCATCCACCTGGTTTAGTACAGGGATTGTTGGTAGACGAATAATCGATGTGGGTGAAAAACTCTTAGTTTCCAGGTTCTCAACTTATCGTTTGAGAATATTTTCGCACACAATCTACAGGATCGTGTTTGTTTCAGATCACGCACCTTAGCTGGAGCGTTTTTCCCCTTTTCCGTTGATTGATCAGTGCTCGTGTAGTTACTCTTGTTTGTGTGGTAAGCAACCAACGATTTACCCAAACACCTGTTATACACCTTCTGACTGACAATTTTCTCTATATCCTCTTTATTATTATACTGAGTATCAATTAAAGTGATGAACAGCACAGTTACCGTTTATTTACTGAAACAGACAGCTTATTAGCAGTCGCTCAAGGAGCACGCAAAATTGGAGTGGAATTGAGATGGACAACCATGGACTTGTTTGTTATCCCGTGCACTCGCTCTTTCAAGTGAACTTCAAATGGTTTCATTGGATCACATTGTCTGCGTGCATAATTGGATTCTACCGTCCCTCAGTTTCACGTTTCATGTTACCATTACGAACAGTTAGTGCACCAACCAGGTGTTCAATGACCCATTCACTTAAGTTGATACAAAGAATCGACCTGAGTGTTGTGTCTTCCAGCCTTTTTCCTCCCCTCGTTCTATCCCTATTTTGTGTAACGTTCGTCTCATTCCAGCAGTTGACATTTTTGACCATTGCTGTCATCGGTAATGTGCTCTATGCATTCAGAACGTTAACACTGTTGAATCTACCCTTTCACTGTACCATTTCAACTGCAAGTGAATCCGTTGTAACTTCAAGTGAATCCAACCAATCGCACCCCATTGCAAACTCCACAAGATTGTTGGTGTTTCGGCTGTCAAACGTCACCGATGCACTGGGTCTGTCTAAACCCCGTCCAGTCCGAATGAACTAACTTCTCCGTAAACAAACAAAAGTACTTTTTGAGTGAGTTACCGAGCGAAGATGAATGTTTGGGGGGGGGAGGGAGGTCGTTCTTCCCTCCCCCCCACCACCACACACAAACCCGTTCCACCCGGGAACGTTATGTCCGAGATCGTTGATCGAATGTGCGTCACAGCTACGAACGAACGAACCCGGAGTTAATTGACCTCTGTCGGTCGGGTAAGGAAGCGAATCACGTCAAGATGGATCGATAACTCGGTCCACCATACCCAGACGTGAATGTGTGTATGAATTCCTTGAATGAATGTAGTCAGTCTAAGCCCACAGTAACTCTATGAGTAAATTCCATTGAGGCCGAGTTTCTCTCGAATAAAACCGATTCCTGTAAATCAAATGCGCATTTGATTTCAACACAAAACGAGCGTGGGAGGACAGGTGGTTAATCCGGGGGTGTAAAAATATGTGATCAATTGACCAATGAGGTGCGCTGAAAGGAAGCCAATCCAACCACAGCGATTCTTTCTCCATTCAAAATGACCGTTTCGCAAATTAAAATTATAGTTTCTCGAATCTTACTTAAACTGTTATAGACCGATCTTTTATACACCCTCTAATCTCCATCACATTGCGCATCGGGGACTTGAGTTGAGTGAATCCGGTCAGTAAGTGGTAATATGTCAATACAGAGTCAGTTATACGTTGTAACAAAGCTACTGTCTCATATCATCAGTCTTGTTGTCTCGACCTTTGATGAAAGGTTTTCTCATGTTTACCCTCGAAATGAAAATGCAATGATTCAAGTAGTTGAACAGAACGCACTGGCATCCGAATGCTGATATTGATCTTTTCATCAGTTGCAGTTCGTTCTCTAGCATCAAGTCTTGGACTTTAAGGGTCCACATTTATTATAACAGTGCAGAACAATATTGATGGTTGTAATCTGCAAGGTGCTTGCTAAATTAATCTCACTTTTTCTGTTTCTTTGTATTCGACTAACTGAAGTTTGATGGGAGTTTATTGCAAGAGACATCCTTGGTGTCACTAGCTTTTTCCGAGGTTGCATCTTTCTCTAGCTATTGCACAACCAAGAGCGGGCTGCAAGGCAGCGATATGTGAATGTGTGGTTGCAGGTTTCTACTTAAAGCTCATTTGCCATTCAACTCAGGGGGCCAGTAACTTCTGCTTGTCGGATAAATTTTCTTCATGATCAGTTGAAGCGATAGATCTCAGTACCTTCGAAATTCATCCTGTTTCTCTGATGAGTCGCTTCATCTGCATATCCGACATTCTTGGAGCCGTAGTTGGGAGTTGACTACATTGTGTACACATCAGAGAGATGGAATGTGTCCCAAGGGGTATTCTGTTTGACACATCCCCATCGCTGTCACCAATTGTGTCTACCGTATTTAACGGGTCTCCTGAAAAAGTTGACAATACAGTGAAAACAAGATCCCATGGTAGATATGCTTCCCATAGTTTTTCGTTTTTAATTCAAAATAAGACGAAAACAGTAGAAGTGCAGAGGAACGACTAATTTCATTTTCGATTTATGCTGTGTGCAAGAACGATTTGTTATTGAACGAAACTCCACATTTGATGTCCACTAATTGGCTGTTTAGATGCACACACACACACACACACANCACATGATTGTAGTTACGTTGTGCCATGCTGTGCATGTACCTTGCTAACGTCGAGGGAACGACAATCGGTCACCTTTTTACTCTACAAACCCATCCTAATAGTTGTGATCCACGGCGGAAGGATATGCCAGATCAGAACATCCAATTCGACTTGATCGTTCACGCCATCTATAAATACCAGCTCGTTTCGACCTTCTGTATTGTTGCCGCTGCTATCATTTCACCTTTATTAGTTTTTGATATATGAATAAGATACCTTCGAAGATCATGCTTCAGTGAGTAAAACACTGTTTCCTCGGTTCGAATTATTGATTTGCATTATTAGTCTCTCAACGTGCGTACTCAAAGCTGAACTTTCGGTTTTGTTCGGTCAATAGGGAAACAGGAATGCTGTTCATAGATCAAACTCCTTTGTTCGCTGAATGCGCGAGACTCAGTGCGAATGGAGGACGGATTGCCTGATAGATCACGGCTCACAGTTTCTGAACAGAACTAGTCCGAGTTGAGAGCTCTAAAGAAGCGTCTGGGACTCATAGGAACACCTCTGTATGATGTTGATGTGGACTGACCATCCTTCAGACCTTATCTTCTCACACAATTCTCAGTTCATCCGGTCAATCATACACTCGGAAGCACTGGACTCCAGTTTCGCTCACCCTAGTGCTCATCAGTAGTGCGTATCCACCGTCATGCTCGGTCTTTGAACTCCGAATCCATCGCCTCATATGATATTACCCCCGGCGTGTGCCACATCAGTGATACATCGCCCACTTGAAGACGTTTTTTTGATGATGGTGAACCACTCGTAGATTTTTTACTGGCCGTTGCACATTTAGGCTACAGTTGTTTTCCACTCATTAGTGTATTCTTGACGGCCTAACCCAGCTTAACACTAGAGAAGCTTAAACGGTCAGTTGATCCCTTTTTGGATTCATCGCTCGCATTTCCAAACAATAGTGCTTTGTTCCATGTGGTGTTCTAAATCACTTTCCGCTGTATATCGGCTATACAGTGAAACAAGAACTACGGATCCGACTTCTGTAGCCGATGCGTCATGGTGTTGAAAATAACACTTCGATAAAACAAAAGTGGTGAAAATTAGGCTTTTAAGTAGCGTTGAACAAAAGTTTGGAAATGAAACGATTATTTTGTCAAAGCTATATTCAGGTACCGAGACAACACTAAAATGCGCACAGTAAATTAATTTTTTGCCATTGTAGAATCCATGATCTAATTGAAATTGAGTGCGCACATTGGAAAGATTGCAGCGTGGATCGTGGCCTTCATCTGGCCTCATCCATAAAGAACCGACCACCACAAAACTGCTCAGAGGTTAGGCCAAAGGATAATGAACAAGGGCGGTCAAACTAAGACCTGGCATAATGGTATGAAAACTCTAATCAGGGCATAGGTACATTGAGGCTTCCTGGATCGGGATCCTGAGGTTGTGGTATCCTGTGGTTGGAGGCAGTGAGTAGTATGGCCAGGTGTCGCAAACAATGGCATCCGTGCATCTCTTGATTATTCTCGCAACCCCAGTCTTTGACTGTACTCTCAGCATTTCAATCTTCATTCTGCTCTGCGCATGGAAAAGCATGGTTAATTGTTGTAGCAACTGGCACGGAAACCACTGTGAATTCAAACTAGTATACCGCTAATCGTTACGTTTATACAGGTTGAATTGCGAAACCCTCATTTTATTTACTGCCCATCAGCAACCCGTTGGGAAAACGGAGATTAACCTTGAGTTCTTATTATAGCTGCGTGTAGTACACCTTTTCGACGACCAAATCCCAGCTCGTGAGCAAACCTCATAATAAACTGTTCAACGAAATATTCACCCCAATGGCTGCAACAAATCCAGTTGATTAGGACCAAAATCCATGTAACTCAAAAGACTTCACATCTGAGAAATAAGGAAAATAGAATTTGACAGTTTTTTCTATTCTCCCGAGTCGTTATTCGTTCATGATCTGCTCATGACCCTGCATCTTTCATGCATATTGCCAGTAGTTAATTCTGTGACGTTCCACCAATGTAGTGAACATCATACGTATAAACGACTCGAATAAAAGCCCATAAGGATAGGCTAGTTGTCTCCCACATTGCCTACTTTCTTTCACAATATCCACTTTCCGGTTATTTGAAACATGAGACTGTCTAAAGATGACTTCATAGCAAATCACACTTTTTGGAAAGGCACAATTGAACTGATTATTCTGTATCGACTACTGTGGTCGCTTGTTTTGGTTTAGTATACCTGTGTATATTCATTTTGTGCATGGTTTGGATCAATGAAGTACGATTCTCCGTAGTTCATGACCCGTTGCTTCTCCTAGCAACCTAGAAATACCTTTTATTACTTCTTCTGTCTCCTTTTGTTTGAGCCCAACATCACCATTCCTTTGATGGTAGTCACAACACACTCCAGTCACAAAATGTGTTTAAATACTCGTCTTAGTTACGATTTTCTCCCTGACATTTCAGGCTGGCTGGAACCACTTCTGGACCGAATACAGATCAAGCAAACCAATGTTGTCGTCCCGGTGATCGAGGTAATAAGCGACAAAGATCTGCGATATCATCGTGCTAATGTGAACAATATCCAAGTGGGTGGATTTGACTGGGATCTCATATTTCATTGGCATGCCCCACCTGAGCGGGATCGTAAACGACCAGGTGCACCTTATTCTCCGATGAGGTAATTATTTGTGTTGATCGCCTGCTTTCGATTTGCACTGCATATCACATAGCTCGATATTTTTGTCATTTGTTCACAGTTTTCGCACATTGCTGTATTTTTGTAACATACCGTCGTGTATGCGATGTTTGATTTCGGGTAAGTTGAATAGTTCTCCAATGAATCAGACGAACTCTCTGTTTCACCGATTCATATGCCCATGGAATTCAGGGATTTAGCATATTCTCACACTGGTTTTAAGCTAGACATAATATTTCGCATTCATTTTGTGCACACTTTGAATCGATGTGCCACTTCTTCACAATTAGAAGTGTCTGAAACACACCCCGTCACAGTCAAACTACCGGTCAATTAGGTATGAAGCCCATGTTTTTTCCAACCAGGTAATTTGTATTTTTTTGTATTTTGACTTGTGTCTGTCGCCGTTTTTTATCTCTAATTGCGGAGAAGATTTAATGGCAGCTCTCAGAAACGCGGATATATTATTTTTTTCTATGTTTGCCTTTTGTACATCAGTTCATTGTATAAACTTCGACTATGCACATATAGGTCATCCGGACGCGATTGATTCTCTCCGTTGGTAACATTTGTTTCACTCCACAGGGATAGCATTAGCTGCATAGCATAGCTGCATGATGATTTAACTCTGATTACTCACCATTTTTTGATTGTGATACCTACGATTTTTGTGTCAGCTACGTTGAGGACCAAGCAATCGATGACACATGGTACAGCCGTTGATATCTTGGCTCTATGTTCTTCTATGGTGATCTGTTTCCCGATGAATTCAGACCGCAACAAAACCGGTTTGATGTGCTCTTGTGTACCATTTGTATGTGTCACTCAGGCTGATATTTAATCGAAGCATTGGCGTTCACTCGATAGTCGTCTACTAGCCACTACTGTCTCACACCTTGACCTTGCCCTGAACCTGAACGAACGTGTATTGTATTTGCATGATCGCACTTACAGATGCGTGTGTGTTCGGTTAGACATGATGATCCAATCGGAACAGCTTTGGTTGTGTAAACACCTTTGTTTAACTCTTTGTCTTCTATACTCAACCCTCTCCCTTTACCCCTACGCTGCCAAGTGGCACTGTAAGTAGTTTACCACCAAACGGATTGCAGATTCGGAAGTCTCTTCAGTCTAAGGAATCTGATGCATGTGGGCCAACAAGTGTCAACAAGCACTTGACAGGCTAGAAAGTTCTGTTGCTCCGTTCGGCGTGCGTTTTGCGCCTTCAAAGGGCAAAGTGTTGCTGCAAGATTGGGTTATGCCAAGTCTCTTTCTGAAACTAGACGGTCAGGAATTAGCCGAAGTTGATTGCTTCTCGTACTTAGATAGCTGCGTGATTAGTTGTATGATAAACGACGATGGCGCAATCAAGGAGATAACCGCACGCATTTCCATGGCTCGAGCAGCATACGCAGAAACGAAATACCTTTAACGTAGATGCCATATTGCACTGAAGTTGAAAAGCCTCGTATACTGCGCCACTGTACGATCAGGTCTGCTTCACGTTTGCGAGATCTTGAATTTGTGGATCGAGGACATCCATTCCTTAGTGGTTTTCAACAATATATGCTTACGTAGTCTAGCCCAAGTGGGATGGAGTGAACGAGTTAGTAACTTAGAGATAAGTCGTCGGGTGTTCTGGAATGTATCGAACGCAAACTCGCTGTCGCATTGAATTCGGCTCAATAGGCTCCGATGGTTAGGACACGCCTACCGCACCGCGCCTTGTTTTCAGTGGCCGCTTTATGCTGATGAACGCTACATGGGGGCCAGTAGATGACCTGGAGACGAGGCATGAAGAAATACACATAGCGATTAGGCAGAGTAGGTATCTCTCGTCTTCAGACTCGGGGTCCAGAGGACTTCGTAATAAGATGGTTGAATATACTGAAGATCATGGCAGCGAACTGACGGCAGTGGTGATCTTGTGATCACATGACTCATTATTTATTACGGTTTTGGTCTATTTGCTTGTAGCGATCTGAAAGTTACTGCACCTTCTAATCCTTTCTCGCTGAACAAGGAGACAATAGGTCACGTATTTCCACCCCGGTGAGTAACATTCAAAAATAAATCGCTCTTTGAGACAATTTAATATTGTTTTGTTGCATAGTGAACTCCTTTTTATGTTTGAAGATGGCGCAGGTTGGTTTCTCAATCCTCGCTGTTCCGTGATTACTGGATACACCAGCAGTACCTTCCATATTCTACTCACTCATAAAGCTTAAGTAGTGCATGTTTCCCGTCCGCAGCATAGGATATTCAACAATATTGATATACTACAACTTCAAGATAGACGTAATAAACACATTTATTAAGTTGCACTGCTTATCCGACTTGACGGCAATAACATGGGATTCCGTTGTGAAAAAGATAAGTAACCTCAGTGGGTTTTCAGCCCACGGGTTCAAGTAGTCTTCCACTTCAGGGAATCAGTGCAAATCCTTACTTATCAACATTTATGAACTTCACCTTGCTTCTACACTCCGTGTAATTAACGGGACAAAGACCGATCCCATTGTCAAAACGATCGGCTGTTCGCTGATCTTGTTTGATGATTGAAGTTTCGATAACTGGAGACTTGAATTACATGCAGTCTGAATCGTATAATTGTGATTTTGAGCCGGATGACAGTGAAGTCACCTACAACGTAATTTCTTTTCATGTTGCATATTTTTCCAGAATTTACATCACTTTTTTGTAACTAGTTTTTTTTCACAGGCCTATGGATACAGTCAGCATCAATCGTTCAAGTTTGATCATGCTTGCCCTTTACCTTGCTAAGCGGGGGAGGAGGAGGAGGGGGGGGCATTCAGATCTACCAGCAGGGAATGCCAGAGAATAATTGATCACATCGCCTCTAGCTACTACTGGAGAAGTATTGTGCACAACTGCCCTTCACTCTGGAACAATTGTCTGTAGCCTGTCCATGCGCTAGGATGTGCTACGTTCTTACATAGTTTTGTCAGCTCTGCCAGCAAAATGTTTCAACAGATAACATGATCAGTCCGAATGTGTCCTCCATGTTGACTAACTATCAAATGGAGGTTGACTTACCTAGCAGTCATCAGATGTTTAATTAAATAGACGTACGACGGGAACACAATACATCAGCGTTTGATGGTGGGTCTCTGGTAACACTCGGAAGCTATTCCATTTCATCCCTTTAACCGGCTCTCGAGATTCTCATATCAGTGCAAGAATGTGTGAAGTGAATGGTGCCTCCTTTAAAAATCTGCCATTCCATTTGGAACGCCGGGATGGATATTTCTCATACCAACTGGCCGCCAGCGCCGACTACTGCACGAATCAAAAACTGAAGATCCCAATGGTTCCTGCCTTTTGACTTTCCCAAAGGAATCTTGGAGCAATAAGCTTTATGAACTGTCACAAAACAGCTGACCCAGAGAAGCTGCCATCAGTAGTGTTTAAAGATTGAGACAGTGCATGGGTAAGAGAATGGTGCACTATATTTCATAACGTTTGGAAAACGAAAACGTGCCTTTGATTGAAGAAAATCTATCATCATGCTCAAAGAGGTCCACACACCGCCTGTAGTAATCTCACGGGAATTAGCTTAATTCTGATGTTGTCAAAAGTTGTAACATCAGTTATCTTCCACCGAAACTGGATGAAAAGATAATAAAGGGTAAATCCGGCTTAGCCCAGGCCGATATTGTAAAGATGAAGTATTCACTGTTTACCAGATCTATTGAATATTTGATGAGATCATGCTGGCTTTCTCTGACTTAGGCATCACATCAATTTTTTTCTGAAAGATTGAGCTTACAGCACCACGGTACATGTAGGCTTATTGTTTGGGTTGGGAACATATGCTGTTCCTGCAGAAGATGGTCGTCACTCAGAAGTATCGTGTAACAGTTATTGTGTTTGTTAGCGCTCCAGCTGCTCTCAGGTCCTCAATATTCTACCCTCGGAATCGGAGTCTCTCTGCACCATTTGCAATGGTTAGGTCGCGTATTGAGTTTTCCTGTCCAGAAGTTACTGCTGCTTGACCTGCTTATGTGCGCGATTTAACGGGGTGCCAAAATTGTCGTGGAAGCCAAAGCGAAGTTGCGTGAATAAGCGACCACAACCTTTGTCACATGTGGGCTCGTTTCAAANATGCAATCAATGTATCCGGTTGGGAACCGTGAAAGAAATGGCTCGCAACCGGGTTCGCTGTTCAATCATCTGTTTCTCATTCACATCCTCAGAGACCATTCAGCATGACATGCAACGCACACGGGCATGAAAATATTGACCATATATATATATATATTACAAGGCGAACTGAAAAGCTCGTTTGAAACTTGTTGCAGTCCTGGTCCGATTCATCACTTCTGCCTTATCCTGGTGCACATGACGTAATGTCGATTATCCTGAGTTCTCTCCTAAAAGTTGTTCTTTGATGAAATTACAGTTTAAAGCCATACGATATCACGCATACTTGTTAAGGTGCATACGATAAACGCGTTGGACAGGCCAATACAATCTGTTGCATTTGACCGTGTGACGTTTTAATGTTAAATATCCCCCTCGATGCTCACAAAATTGACTGGTCGCTTACCGCCGCTGTAAAACTAGTTGTGTCACGTGTAAGTTCACAGTTGAAATATGATTATGGAATTGAAGAGAGAAAGTTAATGGAATCCATGTTTTCTGTATTTCAAGCTGAATTGTGAAAGGCTCCACTCGGTTTAGTTGGAGACCCCAGCAGACGACATCATTGGTGCTTCTTGCTATCTTGTGTGATTTGGTCAGACTGCGTGAAGATACACCCCGCGATAAAGTATTGCACCTCACTACCTTGGGGGTTTGGGATATCTCCGCTCCCACTTGTACAGTCATCACCAATTTTTGACAATCTAGATGGCAGCCAAGTGAAAAGTCAAAATAAGAATCTTCATCGAATTATCTTTACTTTTAAGGAAAATATGTCTAGAATACAATTTTTACCGCATTACTATAATGCACTTCCCGTGGGATTTACCCTTAGAAGCCTCTTTTTATGCAGATTTATGCAAGATCTCACATCTTGTCTGTATTATTACACTCCCTAATCCGCAGTGTCTGTAACCGGTGTTTTGTAGTATAAACTCTGGAATGTTGGTACACCTTTCGGCTAAGAATAGCCCAGTTTTTCTCTCTTGGGTTGAAATGTGATCTGCACACAGGTCGCACCGCCGAGAAGTAACAACCAACATTTTGTTTGATATGAGTAATGATCTACGGTGATATTGTACTTGAAAAGGTCTTCACGATGACCGCTCAATCCCATTGCTATAATAAGGTTCCGCTGCAATTCACGAATATATATATCAGAATATTGTACCCCGCGCAGTATATCAAGCACCTGTTGGGCCGTTGCTTGATAAGGCATCCCTTACCATCACGGAGTCTTGATCACTACCCCGCTCACTGAAGTACCGCTCATTCCATAAGCCATACCAATAGTTGTTCCATTCGTCGATTTCCTCTACTTGAATCAAATTTCTTTTCGTTGTTAAGTTGGACGAAATTCTGTTCGTTGTTCCGAGTTACATGAGTTTTAGATCGGAAAAATCTCTCTGTTTGTAAAGTTGTTTGAGATAAGCCCGTTCTCATCTTGTGTTTCATCCAAGGGACTCTGTTGAGTGTTCCTTGTACCGTTCGCACCGAAACTTCAACCCAAGCACCATTTTTATTTCCTATGCATGACTCACGGAGTTTGATGCCATACG